TCCCCCATGATGGGTCAAAAGTTTCAACACTCGTAAAGCTAGGTTGAGGGTATACATCTGTCGGCAAAACCCACTGATACTTTTTAACTTGTTTTTGACAGATTTTTGGTCATTGGGTTTTGGTGTATTATGAGACCTATAGTAATTTTTATACCCTCCACCACAAAAAGTATGGAGGGTATATTAAGTTCGTCATTCCGTTTGTAACTCATCGAAATAATCATTTTAGACCCAACAAAGTATATATATTCTTGATCAGCGTAAAATTCTAAGACGATTTAGCCCTGTCCGTCTGTTGTAATCACGCTACAGTCTAAACGAATTAAGATAGGAAGCTAAAATTTTGCACAGATCTCTCTTTTGCCTGCAGGCAGGTCAAGTTCGAAGATGGGCAATATCAGTCCACGATATCGTATAGCCCCCATATAACGGTACCCCCGATATTCGGTATTTTGATGATTTTAGCCAAATTTTTCAATGGAATTGTCTGAAAATCCACACGAGTAGTTCCTTGTGGGTACTTTATACCTCGGCAGAGAATTATCTGTATAGGTCCACAATATCGTATAGCCCCCATATAACGGTACCCCCACTGTATTCGGTATTTTGATGATTTTAGCCACATTTTTCAATGGAATTGTCTGAAATTCCACAAAAGGAGTTCCTTGTGGACATTTTAACCCCTTAAAAAAGAATTGTCTATATAGGTCTATATATGTTAGCCACATTTTTCAATGGAATTGTCTCACAATCCACACAAGTAGTTCCTTGTGAGTACTTTACCCCCTGAGAGAGAATTGTCTATACAGGTCCACGATATCGTATATCCCCCATATAACGGTACCCCCCGATATTCGGTATTTTTATGATTTTACCTACATTTTTCATCGGAATTGTCTGAAAATCCACACAAGGAGTTCCCTGTGGGTACTTCATACCTCGGCAGAGAATTATCTATATAGGTCCACGATATCGTATAGCCGCCATATAACGGTACTCCCCTATATTCGGTTTTAATGATTTTAGCCACTTTTTCCAATGGAATTATCTGAAAATCCACACAAGGTGTTCCTTGTGAGTACTTTACACGCAGACATAGATTTGTCTTTATAGGTCCACAATATCGTATATCCCCCCCATATATCGGCACCTTCCTATATTTTAAAGATTTTAAAATAATTTTTAATGGATTTTATTTATTTATTTTTTTTTTTTTTTTTTTGAAAATTTTCTAATTCATTCCAAATGGTGGAGGGTATTCAAAGTTCGGCCCGGCCAAACTTACTCCTTTTTTACTTGTTTTTTTTTTTTTTTTTAATTTCTTAATGGAGTTTTTGAACGTTTTTGAAGAAAAGGACTAAAGGACCGCATTAAAATAATTTCTTCTACAAAAATATTCTCCGAATTTTTGCCAATAATATTGTCAAAAACCATCGATTCCAAGAAATCTTAACTCAAATGTTTTCAATTATGTAAAAATAGGCAGCCTTATTTTGGAAAGTTTATTACGAGAATTCGTCTTGGCGTAAGAGCAAGAGACGATTTTGACTCTTGAACTTTTCAATACCAAAATTTTGTTAAACAAAAGTCGAGATAAATATTCTTAATACAAAATTTCAATACATACTCAACTCTATAGTGGCGAAGGAAATCTTGACCTTTATTTAATAGTGCGTACTATTTCCCCAGTGAATATATTTCAATCACGTCTTATGCCATGTTTATGTTAGAACTTTTTGGTGGGGTTAACCTATTTTAAGAGAATTTTTTGAAGTATAAGTAATGGATATGACAATTTTAATCCAATTCCAGTGGTTTAACCCATTTATATGTAAAGGTACTGCTAGTTTTTCAAATAATAATTTTCCCATTAAAAAATTTATTTAAATTCTTATATTTTTACAAAAAAAGTTTCTCAAATCTACACAATATAATTTATTCAAATCCATAATGCAATCAAATATTCTTATTCAAAAAACACAAGCATACACACACACATTCATTCATTTTCACTCTCTTGACACCAATAATCATAATTTCAAAACTCTTGAAAAAGAACAAAAAACAACCGGAATGCAGTAAAACATATCCCCAAAGTTTTAGCCTTATTAAAATGGCTTCCAATAGGAAAAGTAACAAGGAGAACGGAAGGAAGAGGGATAGGAAACACTATGGAAAAGTCATCAAGTGGAAACTGCATTCATTACTGACTGCAGCTATGGCGTTTGCAGAACACTTGAGTTTGGGGGAAAATGCATAAAAGTTTTTTTTTTTTTTTATGCAAAATTATTTCAGTAGGACTGCAGTGTGAACATCGATGGAAAAAAATCCGTACCAAAAATATATTAAATTTCCATTCAAGTAAAGCGGTATGGAAAACAGAATTTTTGGTTATTTGTGCAGAGGATGTTATTAAATGTGATGGTGATTTTTTCCCGCCAACACTGTGACCAGCCATTCAGCAGGCCACCACCATCCATTTATCCGAATCGTGTTTTGCTGTGGCCGGTAAATCAACACTCTGGCGATAATCGTTTTGTGGAAACCGCACTGTAGGCTTTTTTTCGGAATATTGTTATTTTTTTCGTTTTATTTTTGCCTTTTGCCAAGAATATTTTTTGTTTATTTTTTGATGCCATCCGAAAACAATCGCCGAGATTTGTGGCACATTTTTCAATTTTTAATATTAGATGTGGCTTTGTCCGTTGATATTGTAAATCACAATGCGATAAGAAAGTGTACGAATATGTAAATATAAAATTTTGATTTGAACAAAACGGTCGTCATTTTACAGAAAAAAAATACGATGGACCAGAATTTGGATATTTTGACGCACAATTTTTGGCAAAATAGAATGCATTACTCAATATTTTATAGCAAATAGCAAGCAGTTCGTTAGTTATAGAAGGCAGCAGGCAGCTACTTTGAAATGGCCATAACTCCTTAAATATTGACATTTCGGGGTTTTTAGCTATAATTTGTGATCACTTTTATAAAGAGGAAAAATAGCATACTTTAAAATGGCCATAACTCCTTAAATATTGACATTTCGGGGTTTTTAGCTATAATTTGTGATCAATTTTTGAAAGAAGAAAAATGGCATACTTTAAAATGGCCATAACTCCTTAAATATTGACATTTCGGGGGTTTTAGCTATAATTTGTGATCACTTTAATAAAGAGGAAAAATAGCATACTTTAAAATGGCCATAACTCCTTAAATATTGACATTTCGGGGTTTTTAGCTATAATTTGTGATCAGTTTTTTAAAGAGGAAAAATAGCATACTTTAAAATGGCCATAACTCCTTAAATATTGACATTTCGGGGTTTTAGCTATAATTTTGTAAAGAGGAAAAATAGCATACTTTAAAATGGCCATAAGTCCTTAAATATTGACATTTCGGGGTTTTTTGCTATAATTTGTGATCACTATTCTAAAGAGGAAAAATATTATACTTTAAAACGGCCATAACTCCTTAAATATTGACAATTCGGGGTTTTTAGCTATAATTTGTGATAAATTTTTGAAAGAGGAAAATAGTACACTTTAAAATGGCCATAACTCCTTAAATATTGACATTTCGGGGTTTTCAGCTATAATTTGTGATCACTATTATAAAGAGGAAAAATAGCATACTTTAAAATGGCCATAACTCCTTAAATATTGACATTTCGGGGTTTTTAGCTATAATTTGTGATCAGTTTTTTAAAGAGAAAAAATATCATACTTTAAAATGGCCATAACTCCTTAAATATTGACATTTCGGGGTTTTTAGCTATAATTTGTGATCACTATTATAAAGAGGAAAAATAGCATACTTTAAAATGGCCATAACTCCTTAAATATTGACATTTCGGTGTTTTTAGCTATAATTTGTGATCAGTTTTTTAAAGAGGAAAAATAGCATACTTTAAAATGGCCATAACTCCTTAAATATTGACATTTCGGGGTTTTTAGCTATAATTTGTGATCACTTAATTAAAGAGGAAAAATAGCATACTTTAAAATGGCCATAACTCCTTAAATATTGACATTTCAGGGTTTTTAGCTATAATTTGTGATCACTTAATTAAAGAGGAAAAATAGCATACTTTAAAATGGCTATAACTCATTAAATATTGACATTTCGGGGTTTTTTGCTATAATTTGTGATCACTTTAATAAAGGGGAAAAATAACATACTTTAAAATGGCCATAACTCCTTAAATATTGACATTTCGGGGTTTTTAGCTATAATTTGTGATCACTTAATTAAAGAGGAAAAATAGCATACTTTAAAATGGCTATAACTCATTAAATATTGACATTTCGGGGTTTTTAGCTATAATTTGTGATCAGTTATGTAGAGAGGAAAATAGCATACTTTAAAATGGCCATAACTCCTTAAATATTGACATTTCGGGGTTTTTAGCTATAATTTGTAATCAGTTTTTTAAAGCGGAAAAGTAGCATACTTTAAAATGGCCATAACTCCTTAAATATTGACATTTCGGGGTTTTTAGCTATAATTTGTGATCAGTTATGTAGAGAGGAAAAATAGCATACTTTAAAATGGCCATAACTCCCTAAATATTGACATTTCGGGGTTTTTAGCTATAATTTGTGATCAGTTTTTCAAAGCGGAAAAGTAGCATACTTTAAAATGGCCATAACTCCTTAAATATTGACATTTCGGGGTTTTTAGCTATAATTTGTGATCAGTTATGTAGAGAGGAAAAATAGCATTCTTTAAAATGGCCCTAACTCCTTAAATATTGACATTTCGGGGTTTTTAGTTATAATTTTTGAATATTCAATTCGATTTCAAGTAGTTACACATAAATCACATTTTTTGAAAAATTCATCAATAAATTCAATAAATTCATTTTTTATTATTTATTCGAATATGAATGAATTCAATGAACTATGACAATTTTTATGAGGAGTGTTGATGTAGGAGATGCATACTTTCTTTTCTGTAAACAAAAACATTTTTTTAAATCAAGCATTCATACATACCGCCTTCTTCGTTGGCTTTCACATCGCTCCATTTCGACAACTGCAAAAACGCAATAAATTTTAAATTTAATAAAAAATAAACAATTACATTCGCAAGTATTAAAATTCATAAGGTTCATTGACAGAAAAAATATCACATGTTTTGAATATCAATATTGAATGTCATTCATAAGACCTCAACCTTAATATTTCCCTCAACACAAGAACTGTTTGAAAGATGGCCATAATTTTTACATTTTTTTTAAATTTTATTGAATGAATGCAAAAATGTCGAAAATAGCATCAAATATTAGAATAAGTTTAGATTTGCTTGAATTGGTCACCTTTGGTACGAAATAAGGCCTTCAATCGGCCAATGAAACCGTCACACGCTGCTCGAATGTTGCTCTGCTGTATTTTGGCCCATTCCCGGCGAAGCGCTTGCTTGAGTTGATCGACTCTTTGGTATTTTTTAGTGCCAACCTTGTTTTCTACACAATAGTCCAACGGATTGGCATCCGGAGTTTTTGGTGGCCAGTGTGCGCTGGAAATGAAGCGAGGAACCTCATTTTGTAACCATTCATGGGTGGCGCGTGCTGAGTGCGATGGATCTGAGTCCTGTTGGAATGTCCAAGGTCTGCGGCCAAAATGTTTGCGTCCCCAAGGCTTTAATAGAACCTGCAGAATATTTTCGCGATATTATTCGGTCGAATAATACGAGCGAAGAGCGACCATCGGCTGTTATGGCGGCCCACGCCATCACCATGGTCGGCGCTTGAGGTCTGGTGGCCAACCGAAGGTGCACATTTTCAGCTGACCTCTTTGGCAAGTAAACACGATCATTTTGTTTGTTTACAAACTGCTGGACAACGAATGTTTTCTCATCGGAGAAAACCAAATTCGGCAGTTTACCATTTTCGGCCAAGCGAAGCAACTCTTTAGCTCTTTGGAGTCTACTTTCTTTCCGTTGCGGTGTAAGTTCTGGCACTTTTTGGAATTTCAATGGCTTTACCCCGAACTCATTTTTCAATATTTGCCGAATGGAATATTGCGATATGTTCGGCTCACGAATAATTTTTCGGTCACTGCGACGCGGGTTTCGATCAAGTCGCTTCTTTACTTTTCGAACCATTTCTGCGGATGTTGCTGTTTTCTTCCGACCACTTCCTTGACGTGGGGCTAAGCTACCAGTATCACAGTTACGAGCGATGATACGGGACACAAAAAAGATTTATTTGCATTTAAATGCTGGAGTTTTCTAACGATAGCAACTTTTGGTTTTCCAGCCAAATATAAAGAAATCACACCATCACGGTGGAATTCCTTCACGAATAACTTTTTTCTGGAAAATTCTAACCAAAATACGCTTTTAAACAATATAATAAGCTGTTACTGGAATAATTTTAACAGCTGTCGGCGGAGTGGCTTAGAAATGACAGCAGTCTGTAGTTGGTTGCAGTTTTTTCATCTCACCCTGTATATCTGCAAACCCCTTCCGGTACCTCTCCGTCGAAGGGTTACAAGTTTTTAATACTTTTTTTCTGTCATAACTAGCGAAACAAGTCAGCGATTCTTTACAACTACCTAGCTCTAAATATTTTTCTCAACCAGAAATCTGGGATGAATATGGAATTTATGATTTCGCATAAAATTGGATATAAATGTTCGATATTCTTGCAATTTTGCCCATACCAACATTTGGGTCTGTATTAGATGAAATATGAAAACGGAATACTTCGGTCGACAACATCTGGTACTGCATGCACATTTTCTAAAAAATTATAACATATCTCATATAAAGTGAAGAAAATATCAATATTTATATGATACTTATTTAGGTCCCATACGAAATGGATAATATTGGCCCATTCCTTCGGAAAATACTCCATAGACGATCAACAATTTGAATAATCACAACCGAAGTCAAAATATATTTAAAAAATCGATAACTGGCTAAGGGTACACATCGGTCGGCAACAAACCAACTTATACTTTTTAATTGGTTTATTTTTGAAAATAATATTTTTATTTCTTATTTTAGATTAGTTTTTAGTAAAATTTCTAGACATAATTTTTTTCTCTCCACAGAAGTTTCAATCCCATAATTTAATAATTGCCATTGATGGCAATTATTCCGAAGTATTTCATATAATTTGCTTTGTCCTACTGACCCAAGATCGACTACTATCCCTCAAGGTATTTCGAATCCCCGAATAGTATGCTGTAACTCTTTCTATAGATCCCCCTTCCTTCATATTGAATTGGTCAACTGAATCCCTTTTTATTTTTATTCACATATCACGCACATGACCCCTCCGAAAATGACCTTTTTGACATGCCTGCACATGCATCACAACAACTAATAACAAAAAATGTTTGTACATTGTATTGAATAACTTGATATGTTGTTGTTATTTGTGTTTTTCATCATTTCATTTCATTTTTTTAATATTTAAGACAAACCAAGTTTAGATGACCATCAAATCCAAAACAATCCCCTCTCTCTCTCTCTCTCTAGGTATTGTGTTGTGATGTGGAAAAATTAATTAAAACAAGCTTAACAGCTGGCCAGATAAAAGTTTCGTTATTTATTTCAGTGGAAAAAACGAATTTTCAAGGTTTGAAATATGCATTGTGTGTGTGTGTACATAACATGTGAGTGTTTACATGACAGATGCGGTGTAGGATTTAAGATTTTAGTTAACCTGGCAAAGTGATCTCCATGATTATGACACTAACGATAGTCCTTGGAAACAATTATTACATCCTCCACCATGCTATGGGGGGCCAACCCGTTTGTAACTTCTCGAAATACTCATGATAGATTCGTTCTTTATAAGCGTACAATTGTAAGTCGACTTAGCGATGTCCATCTTTCTGTATGAGTGTGTATCTGTCCGTCTGTGTTTCTGTTGTAATCACGAACGGTAGTTGGTTAAAGTTCTGCACACATGTGTATTTTGTCAGTAGGCAAGTTAAGTTTGTAAATGGCCCATAACGGTACACGTTTTCGTATAGCAACCATATAACTCCTACCTCTCAACTTCGTTGTTTCGACGGTTTAATTCACATTTTCTTACAGAATTGTTTAAAATTCGATACTTCAAAACGGATTCCACCTTCTGTGGCAGAACATTATCTATATAGGTTCACATTTTTCTAAAATACCCATATTTTTGTACTTCCCGATATTGGATAGTCTGACGATTTTAGCTACACATTTTCAGGGGAATCGTTTAAAATGCAGTTTATTTAGTTTGTAATGGATTCTGTCTTCTGTGGCAGAAGACTGCCGGAATATACTCATTATTTTTTTATCACTCATAAGGCGGTACCTTGTAATATTTGGTAGTTTTAGTCATATTTTTGAACTGATTTTTTTTTTTAATTTGGAATTGGACAACTTGCAGAAAACCGGTCATTATTTATTTTTAAACTCTTAATTCTTTTTAAACTCTGGGAAAATCATTTTAAAAATTCACAATTAATTCTTTTTGAACTCTTGGAAATATCTTTTTAAAAATCATTGATTAATTCTTTTTAAACTCTTGGAAAAATCTTTTTAAAAATCCACGATTACTGCTCTTTATGTCCTTAGATTTTTTTTAAATCCACGATTACTGCTCTTTAAGTTGTTTTAGTTTTAAAGGTGTTCTTTATCTCATAGTGGAGGATATTAAAAGTTCGTTTCAGTGCCGAAAGTCGTTTGAAAAACCTTCTCAAAGCATTAACAAGTATTGCTAAATAAGAGTCCTTGAAATATGTTTGATGTAAAATAAATCTATGAATCCTCAATTACAGCTCTTAAAATCCTTGAAAAAACCACGATTAATCCTTTATAAACTCTTGGAAAAATATTTTTTTAAAACCCACGATTAATGCTCCTTAAGCCTTTGGATAATATTTTTAAAAGTCCACGATTAATGCTCCTTAAGTCTTTTGAAAATATTTTTAAAATCCACGATTAATGCTCTTTAAACCGTTGGAGAATCCTTTTAAAAATCCACAATTACTGAAATATCTTTAAAAAAATTCACGATTAATGCTCTTTAAGCCCTTTAAGCCCTTGGAAAACTCCTGTTTAAAAAATCCACGGTTATAGCCCTGAGAGTCCATGAAAACTCCGCTTAAAGAATCTTCGATTATAGCTCTGAGATCACTATTTTTTTTTTTTAAATCAACGATAATTGCCTGGGAGATCCTTGAAAATAAAGCCTTGAAAATCCACAAAATCAGAATTATTGGTATTAAAGTCCTTGAAAATGTTTTTAAAAAATCCACTATCATAGCTCCGATAGTACTTTGAAAAATATTTTCTATGCCCTTAAAAAAACTATCCACGATTATTTGTCTGGATATCTTATTGGTCTGTGGGTCCTTGAAAAAATGTATTTAAAAATCCACGATGATTGGTTTATTGATCCTTAAACAAAATCTATATAAAAAACAAAATCTATCAAAAATAAAATTAAAAAAAAAACTCACTTGTTGGTCCTTGAAAAAATTCATTTAAAAAATCCACGATGATTGGTCGAGTGGTCTTTTAACAAAATCTATTTAAACAAATACTCGATTTTTAATCTGTTGGTGCTATATATTTTTTTTTTAAATTCCCGATTTTTAGTCTGATGGTACTTGAAAAAAAATATTTAAAATATCTTCGATTTTTAATATGTTGGTCCTTGAAAAAAAAAAAATAATAATTAAAAAACCCACGCTCATTGGCCCTTGAAAACTTTATTTAAAAATCCACAATCATTGGTTTGTTGTTCCTTGAAAAAAAATTCTTTAAAAATACAATTTTATTGGTGTATTGGTTATTGAAATAAAATAGGTCTTTAAAAATTCAAGTTTATTGGTCTGTTGGTCCTTGAAAAAATTAATGTAAAAATCTGATAGCCCTTGAAAAAATTAATTTAAAAAAAAATTTTCTCTTAAGGTCTGCTGATCCAGAAAAAAAATTATTTAGAAATCCACGATGATTGGTCCTTGAAACCCCTATTTAAAAAATCAGGACTATTAGTCCGCTGAAAAATCTGAAAGACCTTTAAAAAAAATCTT